GGAGACCCTTTGCAATGCTGGGGATCGAACCAGGGATAACTATGTACTACTATTTTTTTTGACCCAGTCAGATTTTTTTTTTCCAGGGGGCCATAATGTGGTGCCAGGAATTGAACCCAGGTTGGCCTCGTGCAAGGCAAACATCCTACCCACTGTACTATTGTGTTCATGGGTGGCTTATGTGAGGCAAGATTGCTGCAGTAAAGCAGACACTGGTGGAGGTGTGGTGTTGGAACGTGGTTTGCGTGAAGCGCTGTCATCAACAATATTGTAAATCATGGTGCCTAAAGACTCAAAAAAATAAATAAATAAACCCGTCCCCCAGCGACACCTTACAGCACACAGCAACAAAGAAGAAAACCGTCTGGAGGGCCCCACAGCTCCTTTAGAATGCTCCAGGTCCCAAACAGAGCCGATATCACCGGGAGGTCCCAGATGGGGTAGGTGCTGCATCCCGCCTTCTCCAGATGGAACCCCGGTAACCATGAGCCTGCAAGCGGGTACCAGGATATTTTTTCCAAACCGCGCGGCCGCCTAAACGGCCGTGTGACATCTCCTTATATACAAAGTGATCGATGGAAAGTAAATCATCCAACATTTCTCCCTGAAAATCAGACTCAACTCTTTTGCAGACCACAACACCCAAAGGGAGAGAGAGAACAGAGGGGAATGCCCTGCCACAGAGGCAGAGTGGGACGGGAGGGGGGGATGGGGGATGGGAGGGATACTGGGATCCGTGGTGGTGGGAAATGGGCACTGGTGGAGGGATGAGTATTCGAAATAAAATTAAAAAAAAATAAAAAAGAAAGACAAATCCAGTCTGCATGCCAGGGCTTCCTGCCCAGACTCCACCTAGCCTGGTCTGTGAACAGAGCTGCGTCCTGTCACTGTCTGTGAGTCGTGCTGTGGGTATCTCAATGACACTTTCTCCCTTACGTGCATTTTCTTTGCGCCACAGTGTTTGCTGGACCTGTGTCCCTAGGGAGCAGCTGTAATATGCAGACGCTGTACTTTGTCACTGCTCCTCAGGTCCCTGGGGGTGCTAGCTGGTCTCTGCGGAATTGAGAGTGTCACAGATGCAATGCGGGGAGCGGGCTTTCTGTTTGTTCACTTAAAGAAGGTGCAGGGTGATGTGGGGGAGGGGAGGTGCTATGGGGGACGACAAAGAATTTTTCCCTGAGAGGGAATGGTAGGCTGAATGTTCAGACACCCTCTGCTGGGTTCTGGCTGTGAGAACAAATCAGATCTTGCCTTTGTCCTGACAGATCAATTCAAGACAGAGTCTCGAATTGAGGTGTTGCTAAGCTGTGGGTGAGAAATTACCATGTCCTGTTTGGGAGAGGAAGAGAACCCAGAGGAAGAAAGGGAGTGGGGGCCTTCTTCTGGGCAGACACTGTCTAGGTTCTCCGCTTAACTGTGCTCCGACCTAGCCAGGCAGGCAATGCAGAGAGAGCCAGTATGTAAGCGGCAGGAGCTGTGATTTAGGGAACTACTATTGTTGTCTCTGCAACAGGGAAGGGAGTATTAGGCATCTGTTCCAATAAAGAGACTGTCTTTACTTAGATCGGGGGGGTGGGGGGGTGGGCACGTGATAGTTTCCCTGGTACCCTAGAAAACCAAAGACTCTTTGAATACGTCAGAATGCTGAGACTGGTGATCTATCGGGTCCTTAAAAGGTCCTGGCTCATAGATTTGGAACCCTGTCCAGCACAGACAGAGGGACAGAGGCAAATTATGATCACGATCATGATCACGATCATCCTGTTGTTTGTTGATTGCCTCGAGCAGGCACCAGTAATGTCTCCTTCGTCCTAGCCCTGAGATTTTAATAAGTGTCATTTTCAAGGCTCTTTCAGGGTTAGGAGAATGAGACCCATCATTGTTGCTGGTATTTGGCATATTGGGTACGCCACGGGAAGTTTGCCAGATTCTGCCATGTGGGCAGCCTGCCAGGTTATCCAAAGTAAGAATGAGATAATAAGATGTCTTCCGGAAGCTAGGTTTTATAGTCTCTGGGTCTTGGCCGTTGATGGGATTACACGGCGCCAGGGGGCCAGTTGGTGGGTGTGACCCCCGCCTACTGGAAGGTGGAGGATCAGGGTGGGGGATGCTCAGCCCCGATCCGAGCAGGCTTGGAGATCTCAGCCCCTTGACCCACATGTTTGTTTCTCTGCTGGAACCTTCATGCGTGTGAAGAGTGGTCTCAGCATGGTGGTGGATGGTTCTGGAGGTCTTCAGCTGCCGGGGCTCTGCTCGGGGTGGGGAGGGAAACTCAACCCGTCCTCTCCAAGGGGCCCCATCGAGGACAGCCAGGCGCAGGGGCAGGAGGCAAATAAAGTGAAAGAAATAAGAGAAGTATATTGGGGTGCTCCTGGACAGAACTCCATGACCCTCTGATGAGGCTGGGGTAGAGCCATGCCCTGGGAGAGACTAAGTAAAGTAAAGTAAGTAAAGGCCCTCCCTTTGATCATCGATTTGCTCGAGCGGGCCCAGTAACGTCTCCATTGGAGACTTTGTTGTTACTGTGTCTGGCATATCGAATACTCTCAGTAGCTTGCCGGGCTCTGAGGGGCGGAGGAATCGAACTCGGGTCGGTCATGTTGGCCGCTTGTAAGGCAAACGCCCTACCGCTGTGCTATCGCTCCAGCCCGGGAGAGACTAAGGGGCTTTAAATTGTCTTGGGTGGGAAAAGGGGAAAAGGAAATGAAGACCAGCTGAACCCGGGTGCTTGGTCTGGCCTGTTACCTGCCAGGTGTGGATGCAAGGGAGCATCGTATGCAGCCTGGTGTCCTCTTATCACCAGGCGGACCACGAGTCCTGTCTTCTGCACTGGGGACAGGTTGACCTTTGATTCTGGGAATGTCACTATTTCATCTGCCGGCCGCCATCCCAAGCAAACCTGACACTGGTTCTTGAGCAGCCTAAGGTAAGGCCTTATACCCACTCGTGATCGATGTGGGCAGAGTGATAGTGACTTACTGGAAGTTTTCCAACTCCACTGCCAGCCAGATGAATGTGCAACATCACCTCTTATTCGTTTCCTGTTGGGCTGAAGATAAACAGGGCAAGGCATGATCAACCTTTCAGGGGCTCCTGATCTATCCAAGCAGATTCTAGCCACCAGAGAGATGCCCTGCAGTGGAGTGGCCAGCAAGCACGATGGGATTGCTGCCCTGCGTGCAGCAGGACCCTGTCTATCTCTGTGGGGTGCTGTCATCTGCGGGGACTTGCAGGCAAGACAGGTGGCTGAGTCTGGGGCCAGCCCAGGCCCAGATGCCGGGGACATGGGTCGACCTTACTATCTTGGCTCTTAGCGTCTTCAGAACAACCACTGGAGATCATATGTGTAGAGCTCTTGATGTCTTGAAAATGGGCAATAAACGGTGATAATGACAGCAGTGACTCTGCACCACCGCTACAGATAGCCTGTCTGAGCTGGCATTGTTTATGATGACAGTGATGAGACATCAAGATATTATAGTGATTAGTGCCAAGGGGGTCCATGTGCCCATGGCAGTGTTCACCCATAGGGAAGGTGGCATTTGAACGTAATTGGGTATTTTTCCAGATCCTAGCTATTGTAAACAGTGGTACTACATGGAGAGTATCACGAATCACGAATCACGACCATCCTGTTATTCGTCAATTGCCTCGAGCAGGCCCCAGTAACGTCTCCTTCATCATAGCCCTGAGATTTTTAAGAAAGTGCTATATTCAAGGCTCTTTAGGAGAATGAGACCCATCATTGTTACTGGTATTTGGCATATTGGGTACGCCATATTGGGGAGTTTGCCAGACTCTGCCATGTGGGCAGATTACATTCGGTAGCCTGCCAGTTTGTCGAAAACTGGAGAGTGTCATGCTAAGCGAAATGAATCAGAAAGAGAGGGACAGACATAGAAAGATTGCATTCATCTGAGGAACGTAGAGTAACAAAATAGGAGACTAACACTCAAGAATAGCTGAGATAAGTACCAGGAGGTTTATTCCATGGCTTGGAGGCCAGCCGCACAGGCTAGGGAAAAAGGCAGCTCAGATAGAGAAGGGAGCACCAAATAAAGGGTGTTGGGAGCATCCTTCCAGGTTGGGAGATCTATGCTGAAAGTAGACTATAGAAAGAACATGATTGCTACTCAATGACCCTTTTGCAAACCACAGCACCCAAAAGGAGAGAGAGAACAAAAGGGAATGCCCTGCCACAGGGGTGGGGTGGGATGGGGGGGACGGGGGGTGGGAGGGATACTGGGATCATTGGTGGTGGAGAATGGGCACTGGTGGAGGGTTGGGTGTTCGATCATATAACTGAAACCCAAGCACAAAAATTTGTAAGTCTACAACTGTACCTCATGGTGTCTCACTAATCAAAATTAAAAAAAAAAAAGCAGACTGGGTAAATACTTATACTTTCCACCCAGTTTTGCAGGAACCTAAAACTGCTCTAAAAGATAAAGTATTCCAAACTTTCATTTTAAAAAATTAAGAGGAATGCCGGGGAAAGGGGTCAGAGGCACTCAAGACCCCACGCCAGCTCCCTAGCACCGTATGCCCCTACCCCAAGAACTGCTGAGCACAGCCCAGGGACCCACAGTAGCTCCATCCGTGGCCGCCAAGCCCCCTAGTACCACTGGCCCAAGCGTCAAATCATGAGGTCTGGTTTTCACAGTGTCACTGGGGATGGCTCTAGCGTCCCCCAAACCCCCAAGAACTGTTTGTGCAGACCTCCCCCGGGAGGAGAAAGAGGAGGAAGCAGGCCTGGGTATCAGTGTGAGGGGTTGTAGTATCCAGTCCAACAACAGACCTCAAACCCTGTGACTTCCCGCCCTGACCAACACCCCCAGTTCGCAGCCTGTCTGCTGCCGCAACTCACAGCCTGTCCTTGGGCAGGTAAGGCTGGTCCCTTCCTCCCTGTCCCGTGCCCAGCAGGGCAGCCCCGTCCCCCCATCCCTCCCCCAGTCGCATCCTCCTGCTGCCTAACAGAAGGTCCCTTGTCTCCCCGACAGGAGAACGCTCAGCTGATCAGAGAAGTGGACGTGGGCAAGGTCTCCGCGCTGTCCAAGGACCAGGCCGAGGCCATCAAGCAGCTGTGGCGGGACCCGGGCATCCAGGAGTGCTACGACAGGCGGCGGGAGTACCAGCTGTCAGACTCGGCCAAGTAGTGAGTTGGGACCAGGCCTTGCCGCGACCCCTCCTTGCTGCCTGGGACGTTGCAACGTCCAAGTGTGGGGTTCTGTGGAATCAATGTGGGGTTGATCAAAGGTGGGATTCTGGAGCAGTAGCTGGGGCGTGAGAGGCTTCCCTACACCCTGCAGGCCCGACCTCCCTCCTTTGAACCCCGCCAGCCGTGGTCCCTGAGCACAGAGCCGGGGAGTCAACCTTGAGCACTGCTGGGTGTGCCACCGCCCCCAGCCAAAACAAAACCGAACCCCAAAGGTGGCATTCTGTTAGCGGGGTGTAGGAATGCTCTGACCCAAACTTTTCTCCTTTTTATCCCTCAGCCCTCGGGGGGTTTCCTGATCCAAAGACAGCAGCACCCAAATCTAAAATCATTAATTTGGGGCGGCAATGCGGGAAGTCCATCCGTGGCCGGTCTGGTGCTGCCCTCTAGTGGGAGCGCGAGTCTCTGCAGCCCCGCAAAGCCCTGGGCCCAGTCCGCCCAGTGCTGTGCCAGGCTCATCTGGGGCAACGACCCCACACACACACTGTTAGGAGCACGAAGCTCTAGTATTGAGTCCCGAGGCCCTGTGGGTGCAAACCAATATTCTCCTGCACAAAGCGTTTCCATTAGCGATTACAGTGCTCCTTTTCCTGCCAGTGTTTCTGAGAGGTGCCCCTCTGGCAAAGTGTGATTAAAGAGGAAGGAAGAGTCCTGCTTCTGTTCCTCTCCCTGCGTGTCCTCTGCCACCCTTTGGGGTCCTGGACTCTTCCCTGAGACCTGTCCCCCCTTTTTTCTGACTTTTGGGCAATGCACAGGGGTTACTCCTGGCTCTGCACTCAGGAATCACCCTTGGCGTTGCTCGGGGGACCATATGAGATGCTGGGAATCGAACCCAGGTTCGCTGCGTGCAAGGCAAACGCCCTACCTGCTGTGCTATTGCTCCACCCCCGACCTGTCCCCTTCTTCTCTACCCTCAGGCTGCCTCGGGGCCCCCCGCTGTGTGTGTGTGGGCAGAGGGTAGGGCAAACACCTTGCACACGGTCAACCTGGGTTCGATTCCCAGCATCCCCTATGGCCCCCTGAGTTCCCCCAGGAGCAATTCCTGAGTGCAGAGCTAAGAGTAAGCCCTGTGCATCACCAGGTGTGACCCAAAAAGAAAAAAAAAAAACAAAAGTAATGATGGGGGGGGGAGGAAGAAGGGAAACTCATCACCAGCAGCTGCACAGCCCAGGGCATCACCACCAGCTCCCTAGACAGCTACTGTCACTCTCGGATGACCCTGGGCACCGGCAGAGATTGCCACATGCAGCCTCTCAGGGAGGACCAGCTGCTCCTGCCCGAGAAGGCCCCAGAGTCCCGGAATGTGGGACACACCCAGGGAGCGACTTGGGGGGCAGCAGGGGAGGCAGGCAGCTCCCAGGGAAAAGAAAGCGGGCACGTGCGGGTTCAGGCGGTGGCATCACCGCCTCTGAACTGAAGCTGGAACCAGTTGCGGGAGGTGTCCACCAGCTCGTGATGCAGCAGACAGTGCTTGCTGCTTCCCAGGGGCGCAGCCAGAGGCCACGGGAGACTGTTAGCCACCTGCTGGTTGGTGGAGTCCAGTGGTCATGGCAGGAGGCCCTGGGAGATTGGGAGGCAGCAGTGCAGCAGGGCTGTCCCGGTCACTCTGTCACTCTGCACTCCTTCCTGCCATTCCTGGGCAGGCCTGCTGGGCGGGTGGGGGGGGGGGTGTTTGTGCAGGAGTGGTGACGTCAGCCTTGGCCTCGGGGTGCACGGAGGCACCAACCTCCCCTTTGGCCAAAGTCCCAGTCCGTTGTGTGGCTTAAACCCGCTTTTTTAGAAAGGCTTTAGTTTAGTTTAGTTTTTCAAGTATCTTCTTTTACCAGAGGAAAAATAGAGATATTGTTAAGCTTTAGGGACTTCAATACAGAGCCCAAAATAATTCAAGACAAATTCTGGGTTATTTTAAGAGGTGTCTGCTTTTGCAGTGTAACAAGAAAAGTTTTTTTGTTGTGTTTTTGGAAGAACTCTCCATTGGCTTGTAGGATTTTTATGTTCTCTTAGATACAAATTCATTGCGGGTGATAGATATCCACTAGAGCGATAAGTACAGCAGGTAGATTGCTTGCTTGCCTTGGAGGTGGCTGACCCGGATCCGATCCCTGGCACCCCAATGTGGTCTCTTGAGCACTGCGAGGAGTGATTCTTGGGCACAGAGGCAAGATGTGGCCTAAATCTCCCACGACCACCCCCCCAAATGAAGGAAAGAAATTCATTAATAAAAGCATCAGCAACTGGCATCAATGTTCTTTTTTTATCCATTCCACTGTACTTATTTTTATTTATTTATTTATTTATTTATTATTAGTGAGACGCCATTTGTAAGTTGTAGACTTACAAATTTTGTGCTTGGGTTTCAATTATACAATGATCAAATACCCATCCCTCCACCAGTGCCCATTTTCCACCACCACAGGTCCCAGTATCCACCCCCCAATCCCCCTGGCCCACCCTGCCTCTGTGGCAGAGTATTCCCTTTTGTTCTCTCTCTCCTATTGGGTGTTGTGGTCTGCAAAAGAGGCATTGAGTGGCAATCATGTTTGGTCTATAGTCTACTTTCAGCATGCTTCTCCCATCCTGGGAGGATCCTCCCAACACCCTTTATTTGGTGCTCCCTTCTCTATCTGAGCTGCCTTTTCTCCTAGCATGTGTGGCTGGCCTCCAATCCATGGAGCAAAATTCCTGGTTACTAATCTCGGCCATTCTTGGGTGTTAGTAGCGGTTAGAAAAGATGAAGTCATGAAATTTACATACAAGTGGTACTACATGGAAAGTATCATGTTAGGCGAAATGAGTCAGAAAGAGAGGGATAAACATAGAAAGATTGCATTCATCTAAGGAACATAAAGTAACATCAATGTTCTTTTATGCTCTTGGGTGGGGAAAGCACGGAGTGGAAGGGAGAAACAGCTGAGAAGTCAGAGAGACCCACATCCAGTTCCTTCCTCCTGCTGTCTTCCTCGCCAGCCCTCTTGCTGATGAGTGAGAGTAGAATCAGGAAAAGAAATGGGATGACGGGGGTTTTCCTGAGAGCTTGCAAACCTTCTTTTGCAGAAACATCACTCTTCAGGGGGCCTGGAGCTGGGTTTGCTCTGGAGGTCACTCATGGGGTGTGTGGAATGGGTGGGGCTCCTGAGCACGGTCCCTGGGGTGTCTGTTCATTCCCACCTTCTCTGGAACAAATCCTGCTGCTTTTTTTGTTCCCTAATGTCGCAGCTATCTCTCTGACATTGACCGGATCGCCAAGCCTTCCTTCGTGCCAACTCAGCAAGATGTGCTTCGTGTCCGTGTGCCCACCACTGGCATCATTGAGTATCCCTTTGACCTGGAGAACATCATCTTCCGGTGAGAGCCTCTCCCTGCCCAGGGCCCGGTAGCACCTACCTGTGCAGCATGGATGTCTTCAGATGATGTCAGGCTGACCCTCTCCCAGAGGACCAGAGTGTGGCCCTTGTGGGGTCCACATGCCAAGCACTGGGGCAGATTTCCTGTCCTGAAAGGGTGGCAGACTCTTCTGTTTGTGCTCCATAGCAAAGATGACTCGGTGGTGCTTTCTGCAATCAGTTTTCCTTTTTTCTTAAGTCGTCACACCCGATGATACTTGGGGGTCACTCCCAGCCATGTTCAGGGGACCAGGCAGTTTTGGAACCTGAGATTCCCATGTGCAAAACCATGCTGTAGCCCTTTGAGTCTTCTCTTAGCCCTAAGATTTATTTTTTTTTTTAATTTTCGGCTACATATGGCAGTGCTCAGGACTTATTCCTGGCTTTTCACTCAGAGATCACTTCTGGCAGTGCTTGGAGGATCATGTGGAATGCCAGCTCAAACCTGGGCTGCCCACATGCAAGGCAAGCACCCTATCTGTTTTACTATCACTCCATCCCCTGAACTAGTTTTATTTTTTCAAACTACCATGGACTTATGTCTGTGATATATTTTAATTTTGTTCATTTTATTTTTTATTTACATTATTTTAGGTGCCATGGTTTACAAAACTGTTATTAATAGGATTTATATTCATGGAACATTCCAGCACCACACCCTCTACCAAAGTATCCACTTCCCTCCACCATTGTCTCAGTGTCCCCTCTTCCCAATCCCTCATCGGCGTGAACTTATTGATGATCAGTTCTCAGTCTCTGTTGTTGACAATTTGTAATTCCCCTGTTATGTTTCTTTGTATCCCACATATGACAGAACCCATTCTGTGTGGGTCCCTCTGACTCATTTCACTCAGCATGGTGCTCTCCAGATCCATTCATGTACCAGCAAATTCATGATTCCATCTTTTCTTAAAGCACTCAGTAGCTTCCAGTGTGTAAATGTAATGCAGTTTCTTTATTCACTCATCTGTGCTTGGGTTGTTCTCAGATTTTGGCTATTGTGCATAGGGCTGCAAGGAAGTACAGAGATCCTTTCTGTATACTTTTTGGGCCCTTGGAGTAGATTCCTAAAAGTGGAATTGTTGGATCATATAGGAGCTCAACTCTTAGCTTTTTTGAGAAGTATTCATGTTGTTTCCAAAAATATTGAACCAGTTAACATTGTCACCAGCAGTAAATTTTTCCCCACACCCCTGCCAGCACTGATTGTTTTTGTTCTTTGTGATGTGTGCCAGTCTCACTGATGTGAGATGATACCTCATTCTTGTTTTGATTTGCACTTTCCTAATGATAAGTGATGCAGAGCATTTTTCATATACCTGTTGGCTATCTGTGTGTTTTCTTTGAGGAAGCGTATTTTCATCTCTCTCCACATCCCATTTTTTAAAATTTTTATTAGTGAGACACCATGAGGTACAGTTGTAGACTTACAAATTTTTGTGCTTGGGTTTCAATTATACAATGATCAAATACCCATCCCTCATCCAGTGCCCATTTCCCACCACCGCGGATCCCATTATCCCTCCACCCCCCAACCCTTCCATCCCATTTTTGATGTTTTTTTTCTTGTAAAGTTCTATTAGTTCTTTATATATCTTGAATGTCACCCCTTTATTAGATGAGTGTGGAAAAAATTCTCTTCAAGTCTATGGAGTGTATTTTTATTCTGATCATCATTTCCTTTGTAGTGCAGAAGCTTCTTAATTTTCTATAGTCCCATATCACTTGATCACTTGACATCCCGTTACTAATCAATTTGCTCAAGCGGGCACCAGTAATGTCCCCATTCGTCCCTGTTATGTGCTAGTGTAGCCCAATGGTGTCTGCTTGCTCCAGAAACATAAAGAACCTCAAACTGTTCATTCAGGGTCTTGATGAAGAAGTCTGACTATCTTGTAGGTGGGCGGCCATGTGATCTTTTGACATCTGGTGGAATCCAGTCAGTAACGGCTCTAGTCCAGTGGTCGTCAACCTATCTAATTGTCAACGCTTTGGCAAACAAGACAGCGTAGCGTCACTGATTCCTGATTGTTGACGGAGGTCGGAACTCCGGATTCCTTCTCTTACTTGAGTGAAGCGTGATACTCCATGCATAGCTCTTTCAATTCCTCTTTGGGAGACCGGAATAGCATTCTCATCCTGTTTTCATAGGGTCCAGGTCTTTGAGGCATGTGTTAATGCAGTAAGAACAGTGGAGTCAAAGAGATGTGCCTGGAACTGGAGGTTCTTGTCCTCTTAGCTATTTCTTTGATGCTCTTGAAGGTGTTCCATGCCACTCTCTTCCTCCTGTGAAACTCAGGTGCCAGGTTGTTCGTCATGTTGAGTTCTCGACCTAGGTACACATAACTTCTGCATTCAGAGATGTTCGTCCCGTTGAGAGTGAATAGAACGTCAGGAAGGAGTCTGTTTCTCATGAACAGTGTCTTCATGAGATTCAGTTGTAGTCCGACCTTCCACACTCACGGTCGAAGCTGGCCAGCATTTGTGCCTCTTGGCTAATGTTTGGGGTTATTAGCCACTGCCATGCTCCAGGCTGCTTTCTGAACCTCTCAGGCCAAGCCTCATGCATGAGTAAAGCCCCACAGAACCAGGTAAAGAGGAACCTTGGACTCCAGACTCACTGGGACCCAGAAACAAAGATCCTCTGCCTGCTTCCACCAATCTCCAGCTACCCGGGGATCACACCACATCATAAGACACTTAATATCCATTTTTCATTATTACTGCACCATATTTGATGGGGTTCAAATACGGTTTGAACCATGGGAACACCTGCAAGGGCGATTAGAGGCCACCCCAAAAGCCTCTATCTGTCTCGGAGAGCCCGGCAAGCTACTTAAAGTATCCTGCCCTCACAGCAGAGCCTGGCAAGCTATCTGTGGCGTATTCTATATGCCAAAAACAGTAAATACAATGGGCCTCATTTCCCTGACCCTGAAAGAGCCCCCAGTACAGCAGTGTTAAGAAGGATGAGCAAGGAAAGGCTGATAAAATCTTAGGGCCGAACTAGGCTGCCAAAATGAAGAAGGACTAAAATGACTGTCTGTACTTTCAATGCACGTATGCTGGCATCGGAAGCATACATTGAGGACCTGATGGTGCAAGCATGGAAGATCAAGTATGACATCATTGGTCTGACTGAGATGAGAAGGCATTAATCACATCGCACCATTTTTGACACTGAAGAACTGTTCCTCGGAACATGCGACAAAAGAGACATCGGTGGTGTCGGTGTCAGTGTCCTTGTCAACACAAACTTAGCCATGAGCATTGATTCATTCGAATGCCTTACAACCCGAATTGGACGATTAAACTTGAATAGATTGTGCTTGCTACCGGCAGTTTCTAACCTTGTTGTCTATGCACTAACATCCAATTATGATGAAGAAGAAATTGAGAAGTTCTACATGGAGCTGGAGAAGTTCTATAAAGAAGACCACACTTTCTACAAGATCATTGTCAGTGATTTTAATGCCAAGTTAGGACCAAGAAGATCAGCCAAAGAACTCCACATCGGGACCCATCCCTAGAATGGAACGAACAGGATGAGAGACTGTCTGAGTTCATCATGTTGACCAAGACCATCCATGATAACCCACAGCTCCAGAAGCCCGAATCTAAATGTTGGACATGGGAGTCTCCCGGTGGACAGTTCCACAACGAAATTGACCACATCATATTCAATCAACAGTTTTGCCTGACCGACGTCGATGTTGTCCCAAAATTCCAAACAGGATTGGACCACTGTCTCCTTCCTGCAAAATTCTACTTCATGGATCTGGGAGAAAGGTCTGCAAAGTTTAAGAAGAGAACTCCCAGAACGACCATCAACTGGGAGTTCTTTGGCACTATTGCTGCAACATGGAAAGATGCCGTTGTTGACAACATTGATGAAGAATACGATCCACTGCTTCAGTACCTCCATGATTGTGCAAGGAACATTGAGGAAGAGAAATCCACAAAAATACGCCTGTCTTCAAAAACTCTTGAGCTCATTTAACAACGTGGCTGGGCGTGAGCCCCAGGCAACCACAAGCTAACATCCGAGTTCGCAAAGCAGTGCAGAGAAGCGATAAAGGAAGACCTCAAAGAGAAAAGAGCAGCAGTACTGGCAGATGCAGCAGAAGCCAGGAAAAGCATTCACAACGCCCACCTGTCCTTTGCCAACTACAAGACCAAGACAACTGCCCTCCAATGTCCTGATGGATCTATCACATCTTCCAGAAGGGCAATGGAAAAGATTATCCATGACTTCTACTTGAATCTCTTCGATAGTCATGTCCACCTGCCCACATACCAAATTCCACAGGATGGATATGTCGTTCCCAATGTTCTCCCTTCTGAAATCTGACATGCATTTCATCAGTAAAGAAGCAAATAGCACCCGGCCCAGACAAGGTCAGAACCGAACACCTGAAGAATCTGCTGTCAGTACTCATCAATACACTGGCTCGACTCTTCACACATTACCCGTCTGAATGCAAAGTTCTGTCCCAATGGAAAACCAGCAGGACCGTTCTACTGTACAAGAAGAGAGACATCCACGACATTGGCAACTATCGTCCAATCTTCCTGTTGTCTGTAGTCTACAAACTGTTCACTCGAGTCATCCTGAATAGGATTGGCAGAACACTAGATGAAGGACAACCATGCGAGCAAGCCGCATTCCAAAAAGCATTCAGCATGATCGACCATATCCACATGGTAACTAAGCTCATTGAGGTTTCTCGGGAGTTCAAGATGCTGCTCTGTCTAATGTTCATTGATTTAAATAAGACCTTTGATTCTGTTAAGACCAAAGTGGTCATCAAAGCCCTAGCCAAACAGGGCATTCAAACTCAATACATCAGGATCCTCCATGACCTGTATTACGGATTCACTATCAGGATCTCACCATTCTACAAAGGAAGTGATCATCGAAATCAAGAGAGGGGTTCGGCAGGGTGATACCATTTCACCGAAACTCTTCAGTGCCACCCTTGAGAACGTCATGAGATGACTGGAATGGAAAGGAATGGGTGTGAAGACAGACAGTCGGCAACTATACCACCTCCGCTTCACTGATGACATCATTCTAATAACACCAAAGCATATTCCATATACTTATTTTTATTTCATTTTGGTTGACCAATGGTATTGAATCACAGACGATATCTTTAGCTGTAGTATCCTAAAATATCCGATAGTTTGCTCATCTAATTTGTGGAGTCAGGTCCGCTGTTAAGCCATACAGATGTAGGCTTTCGTGGCCCATAAATTGAACAGTCTAGTGTTTTCTCCCTGAATTTAAATAATTTAAATTCTTTTCCCAAGATTTGTTCCTAAAAAAGGAAAACTAAGAATATAAAAAGCTTATTAAAATTTGCATAAAATAAACTTTTTAAAATACAACAAATGTTCAATATTTTTCAATTAAAATGATATTGTGTCATTGGCTTGTAGCTCTTTTGGAGCCCAATTTTGCCCTCTCTGTGGAGATACCTCAGGACCTAAATTCTAGTGTCCTCAGACTGGTCTCCTCAGATTGGCCTTCTCTGTTTTCCTCAACCCTATTACCTCCTCTCTGGTGTCCATTCTCTTTTCCAGAGTCTAAGAGTCTAAAGTTTATTTTTGATGTGTTTTGCTAGTTCGTTTGGGTTATTTATATTCTACACTTGAGAAAAACCATTGTCTTAAGTTTTCTGTCTTACTTTGCTTGCATAACATCTCAAATTCCATTCGTGTTGTGCAAAAGACAGGATTTCATCTTCTTTGAGCACTGAGAAGTGTTTTGATGGGTCCCTAGTCCAATCTTCTGTCAAGGAGCATGTAGGTTGGCTTGGTTAGTGTGGGTCTCGTGGCTAGGGTCAGGGTTGTGTATATCTTTCTGCCATTTGAGTTTTTATATTCGTATAATAGCCTGGAGTTATAGCACAGCAGGTAGGACGTTTGCCTTGCATGTGGCTGACCCGGGTTTGATTCTTCTGTCCCTCTCGGAGAGCCCGGCAAGCTACTGAGAGTATCCTGCCTGCATGGCAGAGTCTGGAAATCTCTCCATGGCGTATTCAATATGCCCAAAACAGTAACAACAAATCTCACAATGGAAACAGTACTGGTGCCCGCTCGAGCAAATCAATGAACAACGGGAGGACAGTGTACAGTGCTATAAAAGCCTAGGAATGCTATTGCTGGATCATATGGCACTCTATTTTTAGGTTTCTTTTTTTAAAAAAGGAATTTCCATATACTTTTCCATTGTGACTATGCCAATTCACCTTCCTGCCAACATCCTGGGGACCTACTGGCGTCTTTACCAACACGCTGTTTTCAGTTTTTCTGTCATCTCTTTTTCTCGCTATTGTGAGCTGACAGCTCATTGAGTGTTTCTTTGCTTGGTGATGATGAGTATTTTTTAATCTGTCAGCCCCCTGAATATCTTCTTTGAGAAGTATGTGTTCATATCTCCTACCTATTTTGATTATTTTCCTTTGTGCTTGGGGTGTATGAGTATTTAATAGAATTCAACTATTAAACCCTGCCTGCTATGTGATTGCAAGTAAAAATACGTCCTACCGGTTACTTGGTCATTTTTTGGTTTTAGTGGTGGTTTATTTCACTGTGCAAAAAGCCTTTTGGTTGGATATAGTTTCTTGTGGGTTTATTTTTCCTTTTGTTTTCTTTACTTTGGGCCATGTTCCCAAAGGTTTCCATGTTGCCAGTGTTTTCATCTATGTATTGTACATACCAAGTCCTTAATCTATTTGAGTGTGTTATTGCGTAGGACATGAAGGCCTGATTTTGGCTTTATTTGCAGGGGACAAGAAGGGATCCCCAGGGGTGCTTATTGCCCTGCGAACTGGCAGTACTCGGGGCTTACTCCTGGCTCTGTGCTCAGGGATTACTCCTGGAAGAGTTCAAGGACCATATGGGGTGCTGAGGATTGAACTTGGGTCTGTTGGGTCTGCCGCATTCAAGGGAAGTGCTCTACCCACTCTATTATTTCTCTGGCCCAGGACCTTTTTCCTTTTTTTTGCCTTTTGGGTAACACCCAGCGATGCTCAGAAGTTATTCCTGTCTCTGCACTCAGGAACCGCTCCTGGCAGTACTTGGGGGACCATATGGGACACGGGGATCGAACCTGGGTCGGCTGTGTGCAAGGCAAACGCCCTACCCACTGTGCTATTGCTCTGGCCCCCCAGGACCTTTTTTTTAAAAAGGATGTTTTAAGAAAATATTTACTGCTTTTAGTTGTGGCAAAAAGAAAAAGAATAGCATGATATTTTAGCATAGCTTTGCAAATTCCAAAGCCCCTCATGTCCAGAATATATTTGTATACATTTATATCTTGTTCCTCGTAATAAAGGTCTTAGACACTCTTCTAGTTAAGACATCACAATTCTAGCCTGTGAGACGGAAGTCCACCTCTATCCGCTCCCATTTTCTTGGTGGTTTGGGGGAATCGCTATGTTGCAGGGGGAGCCCTCTGCATTGTGTATCTTTGGAATCCTGTACCTGTGTGCTGGCGAATTGATCAAAATATTTCAGAAAACACTTTCTCAGCTTCCAAAGTCTCTCTCTATTTTCACAGATGTTTTTTCTGCAGCCCACTTGGTGTTCTGGGAAAAACTTTGGGGTTTGAGACGTTTAGAATTAGAGCATTCACTGAAAGCTTTAGATGCCTGGTTTCTCTGCTAGGAGCCCCTGGGTCCAGCATTTGACTCTTATCTGGGCCACAGGCACTCTTCCATTGGCTTTGCAGAAGCCCTCCCCTCCCCTGACTCCTTTTCATCCTCGGCCTGATCCCTGAAATTTCCCAACTCGCCCTCCTTGGCATATGATTCCCTGAAATCTTACTCAGAGACATATCTGAAGGGTCTGGATGTTCCTGTCAGACAGGAGGCATGCGGGTCCTCCTGGGGAAGGAGATGGTGATCTCTGGGCAATGAAAGAAAGAAAGAGTTTGTTTGTTTGTTTGCTTGCTTGTTTATTTTTGCTTGTGTGGACACACTTTTCGATGCTCAGAGGTTACTCTTGGCTCCGCACTCAGGAATCATTCCTGGCGGTGCTCGGGGGACTTGTGGGAGGCTGGGGTTGGAACCGGGGTCGGCTGTATGCAAGGCACACCCCCTCCTCACTGTGCTGTCCCTCCAGCCCCAGTGCGTGAGAGAGCTGAGACTCCTCTGGAGCAATGATGAAGGAGCAGACGAGCGCCTAGAGGTGGCTGTGTGGGCTGGGGTGGCTCCCCTTTCCTCCTGATATGACACCATCACAGGGGTGTCCCCACCTGTGTTCCCTGCAGGTGCCACCTGAGTGGCCTGGCTCACACAGTGTCTTTTCTGCTGGAGGAGTGGGTGCTCCCTTGGTGCTCCACCTGGAGCTCCAGCACTTTCCTGGCAGGACACCTTTATGCTCCTGAGAGGGAGCACAGCCTCTTGCTCCCCTGTTCCCTGGGTCCAAGGCACCGTATCTTTGGTCCCAGCCCTCACATGCAGTTTCTGTTGGACAGGATGGTGGATGTGGGCGGCCAGAGATCTGAACGACGGAAATGGATCCACTGCTTTGAGAGTGTCACCTCCATTATTTTCCTGGTTGCTCTGAGTGAATACGACCAGGTCCTGGCAGAGTGTGACAATGAGGTATGTGGGTGCTGGCTGGGCTTACTGGGCTATAGGAGACAGAGAGTTTTTTTTTCTTAGTCACACCTCGTGGTGCTCAGGGTTTACTCCTGGCTCTGCACTCAGGAATCACTCTAGGTGGTGCTGGGGAAACCATATGGAATGTTAGGGTCAAATTCTGATGCGTGGAAAGCTAGTGCCCTACCCACTGTGCAATAGCTTTGTTCTTAAAGACAGATTTCTGCACTTATTTGGGAAGTCAGGCCTTTCTGGCATCTTGCCTCTCACTGTAGTTTGCAGGCAGGCAGGGCAAGAGCTGCCTGGTAGAAAGGGGTATCTGCTAGAATGTGTGCCTAGCAAACCAGTCCAGACCAAATAAACCAGATCCCATATTACCCAATTCACCCGTTTGCGTGAGATACCAGGGAATTCAAACTTAAAAAGCCACGTCTGAGCCTCCCTGGTCAGCAGCTCTGGTTCTCAAAAGTGAATGCACCCTTGGACTTCGTGTGGACATGACAGAGAATGTGGCTCTGCCCAACCCCAGATGTTCTCATTTAGTTTGTACTGGCTGGGGCTGAGCTGAGATATGTTCATGGAAGGTGTTACTGAAGCTAGAACTGTCTGGCAAAACATTTTCTCAGGCTTAGTTGTATACTGGAGTCTCCCAAGCATTTTTTTTAAACACTGTATTTGGACCTCAGAGAAGATTTTTTTTATCTCCCAAGTTTGAGTTGGGGGTATATTCCCCAAACCCACCATCACATTTCCATGCACAGCTCCAGGAAGCCGGCTTTTAAAAGTTATTTTTATATATTCCAACATCAGTGCACATTTCCATCCACCAATGTCCATAGTTTCTCTCCTACACCACCCCCCAAATCCCACCTCATCCCTCAACCTGCCTTTATGACAGATACTTTGCTTCTCTCTCTCTCTTGCTCTCTCTCTCTCTCTCTTGCTCTCTCTCTCTCTCTCTCTCTCTCTCTCTCCTCTTAAGGCATTGTGGTTTGCAATACTGTTACTGAAAAGGTATCATGCACATCACTTTACCTCCTTTTAGTACTCATTTTTTGTCCAGGGTGATCATTTCCCCCTATCACTGTCACAGTGGTTCCTTCTCTGTCCTGGCTGCATCCTCCTCCCTTTTTGTAACAAGCTTCCTACCATAGACCCTTCCTACTTCCTGGCCCTTGTTTTTACTATCTTTGGGTATTATTCACATACTCTGGTTTTGTTTTATATCCTGAAAATGACTGCAATCATTTTATGTCTGTCCCTCTCCCTCTGATTCATTTCACTCAGCATAATACTCTCCAAGTCCATTCGTGTATAAACAAATTTCGTAATTTCATTTTTCCTAATTTATACAATGGAGCCAGGCTATCTCTAATCTGCTTATTTGAGAACAAGCTTCCCAACTGTCTCAGCCCAGTAATTCTTACATTACAGTCCCCACAGGGCTTCCTGGAACCGGGTCCAGATGTCAGGACCCATCTTGGGACTGCATCGAGGAAGTGGGTAGGCGTTTGCTGAGGGAAACTGGGACTCACTCACCCCAGACGGGAGCTCAGTGTCCTCTAAAGGGTTGAGTCCATGCTACAGGGCCACGTTCCATTATCTGGACTAGACTGGAGGTGAAAAGTGGAGAGAACCACGTCAGTCACCTTTAGCTAAGGTTGGGGGGAGGGGGTATTTTCTGCAGGAAAATATAAATGTCTTCCTAGTATTTTTCCCCTGATCTCTCATTAGACCTCCTGCTTTATTAAATAAATATATTTCAGGACCCAGAGAAATAGTGTAATGGGTCATGAATTTGCCTTGCCCATGGCCTACGTGGGTTTGGTCCCTAGTATTACATATGGCCCTCTTGAGCACAGAGCCAAGAGTAAGGCCTGGGCATAGCTGGGAATGGTCCAAACTGCCCCACCAACATCTGAAAACAATTTTTTACTTTTGTTTTCTGACATGAAAGTAAATCAGCTAAGAAATCTATTCAGGGTTTGGAGTGATAGAACAGCAGAGAGGACACTTGTCTTGTAAGGTGCTGATGGCATCGGTCCACAGCATCTCATTGGCTTCCCAGCCCACCAGGAGTGATCCCTGAACACAGAGCCAAAACTAAGTCTTGAGCACCACTTGGTATGGTCCCTAAACAAAGCAAAACCAACAGCCATAACTCTATCCACAATTAGGCTGGCTATGACCCAGTGGTATCTTATACCTCTTGGGAGTTGACTTTTCTCTGACATGCACAATCACATTAGCAGAGGCTAAGTTCATTCATTAGTGTCATTGTGAAAAGAATAGATATTTGACTGTCAGTCAGCTCTTCCAAATTTAGAATTTTTCTTAAGCAAGCAAAGGAGGGCAAGAGAGATAGTACAGTGGGTAGGGAAATTGCCTTGCATGCAGCTGACCCAGGCTCCATCCCATGAACTGTATTTGGTCCTCCAAGTCCCTCTAAGAGTGATAGAGCACAGTCAGGAGTAAGCCCTGAACACCACTGGAGTGTGGCCAAAAACCAAAAGTAAAAGCTGAAAAGTAAACATTTAAGAATAAAAGAAGCAAACGTGTCTAGAGACCAGAAAACAAGGAGATGTGGTAGAGCACCCAAAGACAGTAGAGACAAGGGCCAGGAATATTGCTCCATGGTTGGAAGCCTGCCTTATGAGCTGAGGGAGAAGGTAGCTGGGATAGTGAAGGGTTCACTAAATCAATGATGGTTGGAGGGTTTGCTTGGGTTGGGAGACGTGTGCTGAAAGTAGACAAAGGACCAAACATGATGGCCTCTCAGTATCTGTATTGCAAACTATAATTCCCAAAAGGAGAGAAAGATGAAAATTGTCTGCCATAGAGGCAGGGGGTGGGGTTGGATGGGGGTGGCGGGAGGGATACTGAGGACATTGGTGGTGGAAAAGGTACACTGGTGGAGGAAGGGTGTTTGGTTTTATGTCTGAAACTCAATAATGAAAGCTTTGTACCTGTATCTCATGAAGATTCAGTAAAAAAAATATTTTTAAAGTATTTTTTAAAAAAAGAAGTGGTAGAGCTCATGCCCAGCACTCATGATACCCTGGTCTGGGTTCCAGGCACCTCATGCCCTCCCCGGCACTAGCCTGTGTGTTTTGGCTACCACCTATCGTGCCCACCCATGAGCACCAAGGCTATCCAACCATCAGCAGGACCCTTCACTCTGGGTTGATTCCTGGGATCACTTCCTTGTGGGATGAGGTAGAGGTCCTTTTGGGTCAGCACCTCAGCGCAGTGTGCAGGGACACCAGACACCGTCCCCCTCTTATGGCCACACAGTGCGCGGGTTCAGGGGTGCCTTTACCCTGGCTGGAAGTCATGTGCGGCCCCCTCATGTGTGAGGTTCTGGAAGGCTTGTTCTCACCAATAGTACTCATTGGAGATCACTACTCACATGATCGTGATAAGTTTTGTTGTTGATTTGGGGCCACACCTGCTGGTGCTAAGGGCTTTCTCCTGGCTCAATGCTCAGGGATCACACCTGGTGGGCTCATAGGGGTGCTGGGATCAAACCTGGGTCTGCTACATGCAAGGCAAGCACCTTACCTGCTGTACTGTCTCTCTGGCTCCCAAATTAAGTTTGTTTTGTTGTTATTGCTCTTCTTTTGGGCCACACCTGGGGATGCTCAGGGGTTACTCTTCGCTCTGTACTCAGGAGTTACTCCTGGTGGTGCTGGGGGGACCAAGGGCCCTACTCACTCTTCTATCTCTCAAGCCCCTCCATCATAAGTTTTTTTTAATTGAATCACTGTGAGATAGAGTTACAAAGCTTTCATGTTTGAGTTTCAGTCATACAATGATCGAACACCTATCCCTCCACCAATGCACATTTTCCATCACCAATGTCCCCAGTATCCCTTCTCCCCCATACACATCCTGACCCTCCCCTGCCTCTATGGCAGACAATTTCCTTCATACTGTCTCTCTACTTTGGGGCATTATGGTCTGTAATATAGATACTGAGAGGCTATCACGCTTAGTCCTTTATCTACTTTCAGCACACATCTCCCAACCCAAGCAATCCCTCCATCATTGACCTAGTGGTCCTTTCTCTATTCTAGCTGCCTTCTCCCCCCGTTCATGAAGCAGGCTTCCAACCATGGAGCAATATCCCTGGCCCTTGTCTCTACTGTCCTTGGGTGTCAGTCTCATATTATGCTATTTTATATTCCACAAATGAGTGCAGTCATTCTATGTCTGTCTGTCTGTCTGTCTGTCTGTCTGTCTGTCTGTCTGTCTGTCTCTCTCTCTCTCTCTCTCTCTTTGCTTTTTGGGTCACACCCAGCGATGCTCAGGGGTTATTCCTGGCTCTGCACTCAGGAATTCCTCCTGGTGGTGGTTGGGGGACCATATGGGATGCCGGGGATCGAACCCAGGTCAGCCGCGTGCAAAGCAAACTCCCTACCCCCTGTGCTATTGCTCCCACCCCATGTCCCTCTTTTTCTGACTCATTTCACTTAGCTCCATTATAAGTCTTAATGAAGCAGAAGAATTAAGTGGGAGCATTCCCGAGCCCCAAGCCCCATGTTTCTGACGTGGGCCAGGAGTGCAGGTGTGGGAATCACAGGGACAGAATCACTGGCCTGCTCTCAGCACCCCCCCTCCTTCCCCACGTGGCAGGCCCCTGTGTCATGTACCTGAGCAGGCGTCTGCTCCAGCTGCCACTGTTGTATAGTCTGGAGCCCGGGCGGAGTTTCCGCTGCGGGATACCCCTTTGCCCCCAGTGAGGCGCGGGAGCCCGGTGCCTCTGAGTGCCTGGCCTCAGGAAGAACCAACCTTGCTCTGTTCCAGGCTCAGCCCCTCGCAGCCAGCCACGGGGTGGGGGGGCGGGGGCGGGCTGCTTATACCACCCAGGGGCCCTGGATGAACAAGAGCCCCTTTTTGCTTTTCCTGTGTCGGTTTGGGGTTCACTGGGGTGAGAAGAGGTGGGGGGCAGTGAGAGGGGCAGATGAGAATATAGAAGCGGGGAACACTCTCTGGGGACCCCACTTGCACCCCAATTACAGAGCCTGGGAGAGGCCAGAAGGGCAGGCTAGGGGGCAGCTGATGCCCGCGGGCTCACCCACTGTCCTGTGCTCGTCACCTAGAACCGCATGGAAGAGAGCAAAGCCCTGTTTAAAACAATCATCACCTACCCCTGGTTCCTGAACTCGTCTGTGATTTTGTTTTTAAACAAGAAGGACCTGCTGGAGGAGAAGATCATGTACTCCCATCTGATCAGCTACTTCCCAGAGTACACAGGTGAGTGACCAGGTCCCCGGGGTCACACGTTCCCACCTGCTCTGCCGCTGCCCACCAGCCCCCTCTTCTTGCTTTGGGTGGCGGGGACCCTGGCACTCCTGTTTGCCCCCCTCCGTCACGCTCACCCCCGCCCCACCCAGCTGCCGTGGGCGGACACTGGACTCGGCTGGCCCAGAACTGGCCTCCAGCTCTCCTGGGTTCTCAGTACCAGACCCAGGCTCAGCCCTGCCACACTCCAGTGTGGGGATGGTGTGTGCTCCAAGGGGTGACCAGGAGGTCCTGCTGGCGATTCTCAGCCTCAGTTCATGCTAAGGGCCTGTGGTATCAGATGTCAGCCCAGGGTGCTGGGGGCCTCCTGGGCTGTATTAAGTAAAGTCAGGGGCCCATGGGACACCAGGAGTCAAGCCTGGAAAGGACTTCTGCTGTGCACACATCACTTGCCCTCTCCCACTTTCACTGGGGGAGGGAGGGCACACTCAGCAGTGCTCAGGGCTTATTCCTGGTAGTGCTTGGGAATCAAACCCAGATTGGTTGCATGCAAGGCAAGTGCCCTGCCCTCTGTACTATCCAGTCCCATTCTTGTTCTATATGTTGCCCGCTCAAGCTAGCAGGATGTATACACTGGTTGCTGTTTTCTGGTGCAGGAGTAAGTCTGCTTTTTCTTTGGGGGAACACACCTGGCGGTGCTCAGAGATCGCTCTTGGTGAGGCTCAGGGAACCACATGGGGTGTCTGTGATGGAACCTGGGTTGGCCACACGTAAAAACAGTTGCCCTACCCACTGTAGTATGTCTCCAGCCCTGCTTTAAGTTTGGCACTGGTACTTAGAGAAGTGTCTTAACACATTCTGTTAAGTACATTTGCCTCATAGTACAGGGTTCCCAAGCTTTAAAATCGGACCAGGGTGCCCCATGAAGCTCCCATAGCCTTTCCCTCACCTGGTCCACTTCTGCCTGAATGGATAAGGATCACCACTTCTCTAAAAGTGGTTCAGATGAGAACCACTATTTTATTATTATTATTATTATTAGTGAAACACCATGAGGTACAGTTGTAGACTTACAAATTTTTGTGCTTGGGTTTCGATTATACAATGATCACATACCCATCCCTCCACCAGTGCCCATTTTCCACCACCATGGATAATATCCCTCCCACCCCCATCGCCCCCATCCCACCCTACCTCTGTGGCAGGGCAATTCCTTGTGTTCTCTCTCTCCTTTTGGGTGTTGTGGTCTGCAAAAGAGGCATTGAGTGGCAAACATGAGAACCACTATTTTTAATTAGAATTGCACCACTGTTTCACAATTCATCAAACAATATTTAGATCCTCTTGGACGCTTTCAATGAATTCCTTTACGGTCATGAGAAACAATGACAAAGTCAATGTCCCAGTTTAAACTGTGTTCTAGAAAATGAGCTAGATCAAAGCCAGGTTCCAGAGACGAGCTAGAGAGTGATCTGGGGGAGAACCTTGCAGTGACATGTCTTTCTCTCTTCCTCTCATTGCACTGTACCTAGGCCCGAAGCGGGATGTCAAAGCTGCTAGAGATTTTATACTGAAGCTGTACCAGGACCAAAACCCTGACAAGGAGAAGGTCATCTACTCCCACTTCACATGTGCCACGGACACCGAGAACATCCGCTTTGTGTTTGCTGCTGTGAAAGACACGATTCTGCAGCTGAACCTGAGGGAGTTCAACCTGGTCTGAAGGCCACTGCGCACATCTTGCCTCCCTGGGCAGGACTGCAAAGGCTCTTCTCCTCCTTGGTGCTTCACACAGCAAAGCCTTCGGGGCAGCCCCGAGCTCATCCCAGGGGCCTAACCGGGTCCCAGATGGCTGTGAAGTCTGTGGGATATTTGAATTCAGCAAAATGTTCCAAAGTCTTTATCCCCACATCGCTTTCATTTTTCCCCCCTTCTGCAAGAGTTTGTCGTTTCTGAATTCACTATTTTAGACAGCTTTGAATAGTCATTGCAGGGGACAGAGAGGTAGTACAGAAGGTAGGGCACTTGCTTTCCAAGTAGCCAACCTGGGTTTGATCCCCGGCACCCCATCAGGTTCTCTGAGCACCACCAGGAGTGACCTCTGAGTGCAGAGCAAGGCGTCATCCCTGAGCACTACTGTATCTGGCTCTCTCCCCAAAAGGAATTGTGATTTACTTTTTAAAAATTAGTGTGTGTTTAATAATAGCCACTAAAACTTATGTACTGGGGGGGCCTGTTAATTTATAGATCATGCCTTGAAGCCTCTCAGATTAATTTGAGTGATTTTCTTTAAAAATGTTAATGGGTTTCACGCTTTTTTATTTTCTAAATTAGACACCTATAAATTATTTCTGTCTTCATGCTGAAGTATGCTTTTAACATGCCACCCAGGATTTTTTTTTAAAAAAATGTTGTTTTTGTGTTTATTTTCTATGCCAAATTAATGACTGTAACATCTCATTGTCACAATTTGATCACCATTGAAACAGGTTAAAAACAATAGGCAAATGGACTGAAGATAAGCAGGTAGTATTTCACTGACGTGTATTAGTAACACATCCAAGTACACAAACATATACATATTTCAGTTCCAGTTCCCGTCACCTGTGGATTGTCTAAATCTCCAAATTGTTTAACTTCCACCAAAATTCTGGTCCAATCACAGATTTGCTGTTTGAACCACACGTGTCTGAGCTTTCAGTGGAGGCTGAGAATACACCATTCGCCCTTAGCACTGGATTTTGTTGTGTTTCTTAGAGGTCACAGTTTTGATAATCAATGATTCAGAAACTTTATATAATGTTCCTGGGCCACCACTGGGAGGTAGCTGCTCCAATGGCTCATGCACCAACAGAAACTTGATCACTTGATCACTTGATCACTTGACTTCCCGTTAATCGTTGATTTGCTCAAGTGGGTGCCAGTAATGTTTCCATTTGTCCCTGTCGCCTGCTAGTGTAGCCCAATGGGGGCTGTTCATTCTAGGAACACGAAGAGTCTCAAACCGATCATTCAGGATCTTGATGAAGAAGTCTGACCATCTGGTAGGTGGGTGGCCACGCAGTCTTTTGATGTCCCGGTAACGGCTCTAGTCCAGTGGTCGTCTCCAAATCTCATTACATGTCCAGCCCATCTGATTTTTGACCCTTGGCAAATGAGACAACGTCCCTGATTCTTGATCATCGACGGAGGTCAGAACTTCGGATTCTTTCTCACATTTGAGTGAAACGTGATAATCCAAGTATAGTTCTTCTGATTTCAACATAAACATAAAGAACAAAATAAAAAGCCAGTTTTTTTTTTAAAAAAAAGCTGGTTTAAAAAATACCTTCATAAGTTAGAAAGTTGAATAGACAGAATCAGAAATGAAAGAGGAAGTTCCTGGTGGGGAGAGGCACGAGGGCCCGAGTTCAGTTCTGGCAGCACCCTACAGGCTGGTTAGTCCTAGGTCCTGCTGTCCCAGGGTCTCGCATCACATAGGGGCCCCAGCTCCTCACATGCTCAGCTGGGTGTGTGGAGATTCTGGAGCAGGAATCCCAGCATGCAAGAGTGAGCTGGCCCAGCATGGAGGCCAAGTGTGCAGGTACAACTCTGTGTGTGTGTGTGGGGGGGGGGGGGGGAGTGTGTGTGGGTGTAATGCCTGGACACCACAGCAGCAACAAAGACAATAAAAATGGGAAAATGCAAAAAGAAATTTCTCATCTCCCCCCTACAGAATACAGATAAACAGGAAAGAAAAGCAATTCACATGCCATGTATTCCTCCTGTATACATGGGAGATACTTTGAACGTGGTCCAGTCAGTCGCCTTAAATACCATCTTTGGTTAAATTAAAAAGGCATGAATGAGGGAGGAAGTGAAATGCCAGTTGTAGGAGGTTGGCAAAAAAAAATAGTAAACAGACTAAGTTTATTTATACATAATGTTGTTACCTATTCCACAAACAAGTTTCTTGGGACTTATAGTCATCCTGAGAGATTGGGGAGGCAGCATTAAAAGTGGGCATTTATCAATGTGCAGGTCTAATGAAAAGGTAACTTTCAACCTTCAGAGTTGTCTACAGTCATCCTTTCTTTCCACATGCAAGTGAAGATGTTTCTTACGTTGTATATATCTTTTATGAAAGGGTAACTTGTTTGGCTTTCAAAGCTTTCCCCTTGCCTGCTGGTTCTTTAAGTTTAGCGGCTCCAAAATATCTTTTTGCCTAATTGACAGATGTGGAGATATCCAAGTCTATCCCCGCATCTTCTGAAAACAGTTGAGAGAGGTCTCAGGGAGTGACAGGGCACCCCTGCGCCTCACCTTGTGTCCATCAGCATCTTGCTGGGCTGATATTGGGAGCTTGGGCCCAAAAAGAACAGCTAAGGGGCCACCCTCCCCGAGGCTTCCACGGGAAGTGGGGCCAGCTGCAGGACACTGAGAACCACACAGTTCTCCAGTGTCGCTGTCTTCTGAGCTCTCCACATTTACTATGAAGGACACTTTAGTTTCTTCAGTGTCTCAACATATTTGGTGAGCGTCACCAAGTCACAGCTCCTAACCAGATATTTTCTCCTGATAATCTGCCAGGTACTGAAGGAGGAGCTGGGTCCCGGCCAGCAGCCAGGGAACTTCCTGTGCGTGAAGCCTGTGGTTTTTTGTTTCCTTCTGGCAAGCCATGCTGATTGCTTTCTTCTCAAAACACAGTCACTTCTCAAAACTCAATCCAAGAATTGCCAAGAGTGGAGGCGGTGGCCACGGGCTGCAAGTCTCTGTCTGCACGGCAGTGCTTTATGCTGCTCTTGCCACTCTGTGTTCTTCTACACACCCTGGGTGGAGATAACTACAGTAGATGAAGAGGGAGGTGGGTGTGACTTCATTTTCACTCTCAGTGGGAAAAGGCCATTTTCTTAGAATGGAACAGCCTCTTATATAGAATCAAATCTACCCCTGTGCAGAGAGTATTTCCAGAGCTGCAAACTACATTCTCCAAGGTCCTAAGGCATAGGCCATCTCTGTACAGATTATTGCATGACAAGGAAATGACGAGGGGACAGCACAAGAGCAACTGGGATACAGGGCATTGAGCACTATCAGAAATGACCCGTTAGTGTCATTCAGTGAAGGGGGTAGAGTCCCTATGGCATGGGGCGAACATGTAGGAGAGAGCTGGAGGACAGATCTCTGCTCTGCAGTTGGGTCTTACCCACAGGGTCTGAAGACAGTTCTAGCCCAGCTGCTCCAGTACTCTGGGGAAGGGCTACCAGGAAGGTCCCTTTCCCTGGACACTGGGGCACAGAGAGTCTGTCGGCCTCAGGCCACATAGGTGCTAGGAATTCTTTCTGAAAATACTTTTGAAAGTGGGAATGGCAGACTGCAGGTTGTGGCCAAGGGGTAAGATAGACTTCCTCATCTGTCGGGAGATATCTTACATCACCATAGCCCATGAATGCACTTCTTGTATGCACCATACACGGGAGAAAAAGGATCATACTTCATCTCTTTTCTAGGCATGTAGGGTGTGGGTTTTTTTCTTAATTATATTGAGTCACCATGAGATACACAGTTATAAAATTGTTCATGACTGGGTTTCAGTCATACGATGTTTCAACAGTACATTTACCACTGGTGGTGTTTTTAGCACAGGGACGATACCTCTGAGTAAGTAATGTTTGTCAGAAACATCATAACGTGACAACCAAGGAAGAAAATTTTCCTCAAGGAAGGGTAAAGATCATGAAAACACCAATTTGCTAGACATTATAGTTATCGCTAGGAGCGATAGTACAGCAGGCAGGGTGCTTGCCCTGCACAGACTGAGCTGGGCTCAATTCCTGGCACCCCATGTGGTCTCTAGGACTTGCCAGGAGTGATCCGAGTGCAGAGCCAGGAATAAGCCATGAACACCACTAGGTGTGGTCAAAAACAAACAAAAAAGAAAATCAACTTATCTTCATGATCACAAGAACACACTCTCCACCCTGCCACCCCCAACCCCACTGCTGGTCACAAGCAAGGGTTAGGACATTGTGACTCCATAGGCCACAGTTTTTTTTTCTCTAAATACCAGAGATCATATTAAATAACACTGCCAAAATACACGGAAGAACTTGAGCCTCATAATTATCAACAATACTTAAAAAATATGCAAAAAATATGCAAAAACCAACTTGCTACCCTGTGACTTCATTTGTCTGTTGCTCAGGACCCTATGCTAGAACAAGCCATTATTGAAGGACGTAAAGATACACAGCAAGATAGCAAAAGGGCAACAAAATGAGAGAATTGATCCACAGAACTGAGTTTGAGTCACAGTGAGGGATGGGATCAAAAAGGGGGCCTTATGATTCAGAGACTCATAAATAAATCTTGAAAGAGATCAATAAGTTGCAGAGATTCTTTATTCCGGACCCTGTACAAGGCTGAGTCACCTGGGGCACTCCAGAGATGGGCAGCGGGCCGGTAAGTCTAGTGCATGCTCAAACAGAGCCTTGGTATCCGAAAGCCTCCACACCCCACAACAGCTGCCATGTTCCTGCCTGGACTCCACTGCTCAGGACGAACCTCATCCAGAAATTAATCTGTAGAAAAACTCAGGTATGCGGGATTTGTGTCTGAATTCCCTAGGCTTTCGCAGTCAAGGATAGGCTACCTCCCCCCACCTTCCTATACTTCAGGAAGCCCCAGCAGTCACCACACACACACACACACACACACACACACACACACACAAACACATCAATGCCACACCCAGTTAGGAAGTTAACACCAG